TTAAAGGGACAGCTTGTAGTTATTCACCAGCTGCACTCAGAAGGGCGAGTATCTGCCAGCTGCTGAGGTTAATAATTGTTGTTACCTTCTCCTCCTGATTCTCCTCCACACACAGAGTTAAACCTCCTGCAGACGTCTGACGGTTGTCCTTCGCCTGCAGAGGAGTGTCACACAGACCAGACTACATGCAGTTTTAGACAGATTTAAGAGGCTGAGATAGAAAATAAAGTGACTGATTTGAACTTTAACTACACTGTAACTCATCATCGTCATCAGGCGTCTCCCAGTTCCTCCTTCTTCACTCAGGTTTCAGACTCAGGGACTTGTGAGTCATAGCTGTGAACTGAGGCATGTGCTGTTGGAAGGGAAGCAGATGTGGCTACAGACAGTTTAAATAAAGTTAATTTGAGGAACGGGGAAATATAATGAAGGTGTCTATCCTTTTCTTTTACCCAAGATGCAACAGAGCTCAGATCCCTCAGCTCTGTGTTACCTTCTCCACCTGTTTCAGCGGTGAAACCATCAGAGTAACAGACGAGCTCCCCACTGAGAGGTGACACTTCTCAGATCAGCTGAGGAACAGACGAGTGAGAGGAGCAGACGGCTGATCACTTAAGTTTGACTTAACTTTAACGCCTCACGTCTTCAGCTGACTGAAGTGATAATGATGTTCCTGCTGCAGGCGAGACACTCCAGGTGTTTGAAAGCTCCGACCGCAAAGAGAGTGAGAAGGCGTGAGGATTAAAAATAGGTTCAAGAGAAGTTTAGGAAGGAACATCTGTGATCGGATGCATGTGGGGACAGACAGTTTAAATAAAGTTAGTTTAAGGAAACTTTACGTTTCCCTCGTCAGGACGCAGCAAAGCTCAGATCCTGAACAAAAAGGCAACATTTCTAATCAGAACCGTCAGAGAATATTCTGGCAACTGGACAAGAACGTCCTGGGCTCACCTCCTCATCGTCATAGCAACCTGAACAGACGAGCTGGAACGGCGGCACCGATCACTGACAGACTGACAGGAGAGTGTGTTGGTGCAGGAGAAACTTCCGCTCTGTCCAGGTGGTCGACCTGCCGTGATGTCACGCAGTAACGATCAGGTGACGTCTTTAGTCTCTGAGCAGTTTGTGGACAGGAGGAGACGTGAGGATGACGTCATGACATGGACTGATCTCAGGAAACAGGACGCTTTGTGCAGAACTCTTATTTAAAATGAAATGTTGTGATGAGATCAGATTAATCTGAAACTCTCTCGCAGGGCGACAGCCAGAGTTTCAGATCAGTCTCAGAAAGAAACTGTGATTCTGCAGACAGTTTGTTGGTGTTTTATAGTTCAGCACCCAAACAAACACACTCCTCCCTTTACTGCTCCTTCAGAAGCTCCGCCCCCAAATTCATGGACGTGCATTGCCACGACAACCAGTCCTACGCTGCTGAAATATGGCAGAATCCACGGTGTGCTGGCCGAGAGCGCGTTAGCCTCAACGAGGCGGCACGTTTCAGCATTAACTCACTCTTTACTGACCGCCGCGGCTAAGCTAACAAAGCTAACCAGCTGGGATCAGACAGGACCTCACTGAACCTAGGCTAACGTCACTCACTTGACCTCCGCAGCGGTTTCCATCCCTTTCAAATCTGGGAGATTCCTCTGAGATGTTACCACAGGTCCCCCCCCCACGTGGTCCCAGGGCCTCAGACCTTTCCCAGCCCTCTTCACAGCTAGAGTCCCGTAAGGAGTACAGCATGCTCGAACGTACCGCCGTCTGTTCCAAAGTGACAGTTTGTAAAAGAGTGTCCAACATGAGAAGCGATCAGCTAATGAAGGAACATCCTGGGAGCGATTGATCAGTCTGAAGATGTGAAGATTAACTTTGATAACTGAATGATTTTTAAAGAGGCGTTCCAACACGCTACTTTCAGTCTTCCTTCTTTCAGCAACACACTGAGTGAGTCCTTCAGAAAACATCATGCGGCATTTAGACGGAGCGGCTGTGACAGATGGTGACGCTTCTTCACAGCAGCTCGTTCAGGAGGATCTTACGCTGTCAGAAACCTTTTCAGATCCAGCAGCAGCTCGAGTGTCTAATGAGCGTTTGACCTTTTCCATTAACATACTGATGCTGTTTCAGCGTTTCTTCAGATGATCGATCTGCTGTCTATCTACTGTTGTTAGATCTGAGTTGAAGAAAGCCGATTTGTCTGTAATTATTAAAATCTGATATCTGAACAACAGTTTAATTGATACGTTAATCAGCAGAGACTCGTTAATGAAATGAGTGTCTGATCCAAACTCATCCTTCGGAAGGATTGAATTAATCACTTACATTGGCTGTGTGTATTAACAGTTGTGAAAATAATGAGAGGTTTGAACTTCAGACGTCGGGATGAGACGATCTTTCACCAAAACATTATTAACTTCTCCTTCTTTCTCCTGCTTGGTTTCATTAACGTCCATAAAAGGTTTTGTAAGTTATTGATCCTCATCATCCTCTTCTTGCTGCAGTCATCATCACGCCACGGTCGATCGTTTGCCTTTCTGCTTCCACTTTGAGCTCAGAGTTTAAGATGTTGGCTTTTTGGGTTTAATATTTAGATGGGTTTAAAGGGAGTTATGGAGACAGACCAGTGAAGAGGTCGGCGGTTTTAAGAATTCTATCAGGTTTGCTCGTTAATAGTTAATCCGCTCTGCTTGTGGATTGGTTAGTTAGTTGTGTCGGTGTGGACCGGATTAAAATGATCAGTTGTTTTTTCCTGTCTGTCTTTTTGTGCAAGTAAATATAAAAATCAGGGTTATCTATTTCTTAGAGCTGCTGCGGTTGATAATGGTTTTAAGGTGGCTAAAAAAATTAGCTGACATAAAAATGACACAGAAGGTAATTTCTGCAGAAAGTATCATTTCTGATCCAACACATTCAAGACAGATTGATATCCACAGGCCATTTTAAGGTGTCTTTATCATAACCCCCTCCCCCTGACCCCATCCTTTCTAAAAACATTATAACCAGGTGTTGCTATTGCGCCTCAGGTGATGAACTTGTTAGCCACGTTTCTGTTTGAGTGGAATAATAAATATTAGAATATTCAGATGTCCCCCTTTTGGTTTATTCCGTCCCATCCAAACTCCTTTCTTCCATATTGAAAACAGGCTGTGTGTAGTTAACTTTACAAACTTTGTGAAACTCTCGCCACTAAGAATTCATTATAATTTGAGTTATTTTGTGATTAATAATCTAAACAGCGGATTATTATTATTAATAATAACGGACAGATTATTCCAGCAGTCCTGCTCCTGGACGCTCTGGACTCTCTCTGTCCGGCTTCTCTGCTTCAGCCTCCGGCTCCACACCAAGAGAAAAAGCAAACTGTCTTCTTGCTCCAACTCAACGCAAGATTACTGCAGTTTGCTTCATTAAATGTGAGAATGTTGATGTAATTTGGCGCTATATATATAAAATTGAATTGAATTGAAATTGAATTGAGAAGGGAAACAACAGCTGGGTCGGGCTCAGCTGAGCAGCTACCCAGCTGACTCTGCCGTTAACTTTCATGGCGTCATTATGAAGGGCGAGGCTTTCTCAGGAAACATGGACCCAGCCGGACACAGAGCAGAAGGAGTCACATGATCAGATGTGAGGATGTCTGGACACATCTGCAGCAGCCTGTCAGGACGGATCAGACGTCAGGAGACTCTTCAGGTGGTTTAGAGAGGAGAGAAGGTGTGATGTGGATCAGAAGGCAGGGTCGACCGGCCATCTTGGACTACACCTGGTCCTACACCTGTGTCCAGTGAACATGTCCAGTTTTCTGTTGCATTACTGGAATTACTTTCCTTTTGTGAGTTATTAAAACAAGCCTGTTTTTGACTGTTTCTGGTCCATGCAGGGAAGAAGTGACCTGGTCTACGATAAATGAATGAAAGACAGCTTTACAAAGACAACAGGGTTAGTTTCAGGCTTGTACAGCTGAGGCCGGGTTCAGATCCTGTCTGTGGTGGTTCACCAGTGAAAACATCGACACGTCCTGTCTCGGGCTTTAACTCAGTGTGGAATCTCAGCAGAGAAAGGGTTTCATTTAAAGTCAGGAGACTGAGACAGCAAATATTCTGCAGGTTATTCATTAAAAGTGATTCTCAGCAAAGGCAGAATTACAGCCTGCACAGCCTGTGTTGGTTTAAAGTGGTGCTACTCCTCAGAATGACCTCCAAAATATATTTAAAACAATCATTTTGTTTAATAACTAAATGTGAATCTTCAGAGTTCCCAGAACAACAAATAAATAGGTACAGTAAAAAGTCCAGTACAGCGTTTACCTCTGAATGACATCCTAAAATATACAGCAGTAAAGCAGCTGCATCTGATGTACAGATTTAATGTTTGAAGTTAATGAATAAGAACAAAATCCAAATAATCTGTTTATTCTTCTATCAGTGACAGTTTCATCTACGTTTCATCATGTTCACTTCACAGATAAATACTACAGACTTCACCACAATGTTTCTGTTTGCAGCACAGACTCTGTTCAGTTTTTACTTTTTCCATATATAGGTCAGTCATCTTCACGCTCACTGCTTCAGTCACAACAATATACATAAACACTTTTCTGTAAAAGCAAATAAAAATAAGGCGCCACTGATCAGTAAAATCTTTAAAGAACATCAACGTGAAAGAACTCCTATAGCAAACAACTTTTCTAATTCTGTTCACACATTTTATGCCTCTGGGCTGAAATCTGACTACCACTTGGACAAGTGAACACAACCTTCAAAATAAGAGACTGACACATGAACACAACCTTCAAAATAAGAGACTGACACACAAAGAAAACCTTCAAAATAGTGTTTCAGTCAAGCAGGGTTCTAAACTAAGGCTTTGGTCAGAAACCTTCTTCCCGCTGGTGACGGACAGTTCGCAGGATGCATCTTTTAAGGTTTGGTTTATTTTAAAGAACATTCGGCTCTGGAGATAATAAAATCCTGGATGGCCTGAGGATGTCTGAAGACGTTTCACGTCCGACAGCAGAGCAGCTTGTGAAAGACGCTTCTGAACTCAGCATTGAAGGCGGTGTAAATTATCGGGTTGACGGCACTGTTGACGTAGCCGAGCCACGTTACCACAGAGATGAGAGTGGGGCCGATGTCACATGACTGACACAGCACCTTGGTGATGTGGACAACAAAGAACGGTGTCCAACAGGCCAGAAACACACCTAGAGACACAGAAGACAGACACAGTTAGAGGGAGAGACAATGAGATTTATCCTTCTTGTCCTGTGCTTTCAGGACTGATCTCAGTTACTTCAGATGACTTCTTACCATTCAGGACTAGTTTGAAGTGCTGCAGAGAGGAAGAAGTTAGAGGCAGACCGTAATCAATCATAAAAATACAAGACTGCATCATCTGGTGTAAACCATCTTTACCGGGTTAAAGGTCCAGTGTGTAAGAACTGAGACTCCCCCTGTCAAATTCATACTCCAAAAAAACATGGGCCGCACATATCAGGTCATAACTGCCGTTAGCTCAGTTAGCCATGCGACTAACTTAGCGGCCCTATTAGCTGACTGGAGCCGATAGAGTGGGCAACGAAACTCAGGCTCCCAGTGATCACGGACGGACTGGGACTGAACACATCATCCATCCGCATCAAGAGCGATGGAGGCCAACAAGGAATACAGTACGAGATGGTTTACTGTGGCTCAGACAAGGACTCTTACTCCGGGGACGGCAAAGACACGTCGGGTTCAGGTGAGCACAGGAGCAGCGTCCAGTGGGAGAGGAGTGAGAGGGATGGTGCGCATCAGAGAGGCAGAGTAGTTTCACATCTAACCCATGAATTAAGGGTTTATCTCCACCAAAGCATGCTAATGACAGGTGGAACAGTGGAAACAACAATCACGACTGTTTTATTTTGTTTCTGTGGAATTTGGAAGTGGAAGTGTATTTAGAAATTTGGAAGTGTTTTACGACGAGTTAAAAGGCGATAAATTATATAATATCTACAACACATTTGCATTGACTTCGAGAGCTGTTAGCCCGTACGGCATAAATACCAGGAAGAAGAAGTAAGAGTTAACAAATAGTGCAATCAATACAAGAGAACTGTGAGGAGACAGAAGAAGAAAAGCACAGGAAGTGCATGTCAGAGGTTAGAGGTGTTATCAGAGGAAGTGTTCTCTGCAGAGTTTTCAGGAGCTTCTTGAAGTCAAGCCTGCTCTGATGGCATGTGGCAGCTCGTTCCACCATCGTGGCGTCACAGATGAGAACAGGGAATGAGGTCGCTTTGTGTGAAAGGATGGCAGAGCAGGTATTTGTTGGAGGAGCTCAGTAGCCCAGAAGGGACGTAGGCTTGGATAATGGAGGTTAGGTAGATGGTGCAGACCCAGGAGTCACTCTGGATGCAGCATTAGGGACTTGGATTTGAACAACACAACCCATAGACGTCTTTGACACGACATCAGAACTGTTACTACTTCAGTCTGCTGGATCATGCTGGTTCATGTTTTTAACTTAGAATTCTGGTCACACTTCCCTGCACACTGCACCTTTAATGAACAAACATTATGTTCCCAGATATCTGATTTCTGAACAGCTGTCTGCATGTCTTCACTGTGGAGTAGTAGTTAACATAACATCATAATCAGCTGCTTTTCACCTTTCTGAAACTTTAAATTGCAGCTAACGACTGCTGAACGTGCATCAGCAGACGATGCTGTTCACTATCACTTCACCATCCTCAGGAAACTTAATCCATTATAAGCTATCATTCAGGCAGTTTGTCACAGTGTGAGATCTGAGTGTTGGTGTTTAAATGTGGCTTCAGTGTGAAAATGATTTCACTGAGATAGATAGTTAGCACTTTCTATTTTTACTGCGAGATCACAGCTTCACGGTGTGTTACAGTAAAACATGGAAACCACGAACAAAGACAGCAGTTTGTCCTCGTGTGGAGCTGCAGGCAGTTGAGCTGAAGAGCTGCCTCCTGGAGAGACACATTTATATTATCCAGTCACATTCGTTGACTCTGGCAGCTGATTGTAGCTGTGGGTGCTGACAGAAAGTGGCTGTGTATATCGACTTTCTACTAAATGATGCGTGACATTCATGTTTCTGCCTTCATTGGAATCTAAATGATCATTTATACAGTGGAATACGCTGTTGATATCAATCCCTGTCCTGATGTGTTAAAATACAGAAGATAAACTGCAAAGCTACGTATGTTTGAAAGCAACCTGTCAACAACACAATGTTCTTCTCACGCCTCTGCTGTTGATCCTCAGTGAATGTTACTCACCGACAACGACGGGCAGGACCTTCATGGCTTTCCGTTCCCTCCCGCTGACTCTGCTGCTCTTGCTGTTTCTTCTTCCTCTCTTGGCAGCGTTTGTCTTCCTCAGGCCGTTCTCTCTCTTGCTGCCTCCCTCCCTCCTTTCTGTGGGCTCGCCGTCTGACATGCTGTCAATCTGTGTCGTCATCGGGTCGCTCTCTGCCAAGACCGTCGCCCCGTCCTGATGCTCTTCCATCACCGGGGTCGCAGAGGGTGTGGTCATGGAGATAGTGCATGGAGAGGTGGGGCTGAGGCTGGCTGGCGTGGTGTACACAGCTTTCTCTCGATTCCCAGTCGTTGTGGCTTTAGCTCGCCGTAAGGCCAAGCCGAGACGTGAAGAGAGAGCTTGACGACTGGCCCGACCCACCTGAGATCGACTCCGACCGCTCCACCGCCGCAGGCCTCGGAACATCCAGTAATACAAGAAGAGCATGATGGGACAAGGCACAAAGAAGGAGCAGATGGACGAGTACACCACAAACCGGTCGTCCTCCAGTTTGCACACGCTCGGGTTGCGACCCGGCACCTGGTTGAGACCGAAGATAACCGGACTCGCCACGCCCAGAGATAGCACCCAGGTAGCAGTGATGAGAGCCAGCTGTCGGACGCTGAACTGGTTCCTGTTGTACTTCAGAGGGACCACCACTGCAATGTACCTGAAACACAACACAGAAACGTGAACCCTTTCTCTACCCAACTCTTAGAACTCGGATCTTTGCTTTCCAATCGGGAAACATGGCTGCTTTTCTGTCCTCTCAACAGAAGCCGACTAATCCTGAGTCTAGAAACAGACCCTGTATTCAATAACTGATGCATCATCGTTCAGCTCTCCCCACAGTTCAGTGGTGCTCTGCCACACAGCTTTATGTTATCAACCCTGAATCTTGTAGTCAAAACTGAGCTCCTGAGTCATCATCAGGCTGCACGAAGCAATGAAAACAAACCTTCACAGGACACGTGTTCCATCAACTTCACACTGTTTAACTCACATTCTCACTGCAAAGTTTGGTTCTGCTCTGATAATGGTGGACGAGGTGGCCCTAGACCTCGCTGTGAGACACATTCAGATCCCAGTTAGACTCAGTGATTTGTTTAAAGCAGAGAAAGGCCTGTTTGAAAAGTAAAAATATTCCAGCAGTCAGGACGTGAGTTATCCCCAGAATTCAGAATACACATGGTCAAAGGCAGTTGGACTTGTTTCAGATGTTTCTCAGGTACACGACCCGACAGAGGTTAAACAGCCGGGAGTCCCCACAAACTCATTCAGGTCAAACTGAAGTCGTTTAATTTGAAATTCTTGATTGGCTCTGCTGGCAGCGTGCTGCCAATTAAGTCTGTATCTCCTATATGATGGAGGTCATCACACTGTAATGAGTGGCACTCGTTACTCACGCAAGCAGAAAGCTCATTTAATATGACAAAGATATCTGAGATTATTTCTCTTCTTTTCACATGGAAGGTCAAACTGTAGTTTTTTATTAGATTTAAATGAAGTTTGACCTCCAGGTGGACTCACCTGTCCACGCTGATGGCACACAAGTTGAGGATGGAGGCGGTGCACAGCATCACATCCATGGTCATAAGAGCATCACAGATGTAGGTGCTCAACGTCCAGATACCTCCCAGAAACTAAACAGAACACAGACAGTCATGCAGAATCAACTCATTTACAAATGTGTCCTCATTGTGCAGGTGTAAACTCGTGTCAGTCCTCTCAAACAGATTTCTATTGTATCCTCATTGTGCAGGTGTAAACTCGTGTCAGTCCTCTCAAACAGATTTCTATTGTATCCTCATTGTGCAGGTGTAAACTCGTGTCAGTCCTCTCAAACAGATTTCTATTGTGTCCTCATTGTGCAGGTGTAAACTCGTGTCAGTCCTCTCAAGCAGCTTTCTATCGTGTCCTCATTGTGCAGGTGTAAACTCGTGTCAGTCCTCTCAAACAGATTTCTATTGTATCCTCATTGTGCAGGTGTAAACTCGTGTCAGTCCTCTCAAACAGATTTCTATTGTGTCCTCATTGTGCAGGTGTAAACTCGTGTCAGTCCTCTCAAGCAGCTTTCTATCGTGTCCTCATTGTGCAGGTGTAAACTCGTGTCAGTCCTCTCAAACAGCTTTCTATCGTGTCCTCATTGTGCAGGTGTAAACTCGTGTCAGTCCTCTCAAACAGATTTCTATTGTGTCCTCATTGTGCAGGTGTAAACTCGTGTCAGTCCTCTCAAGCAGCTTTCTATCGTGTCCTCATTGTGCCGGTGTAAACTCGTGTCAGTCCTCTCAAACAGCTTTCTATCGTGTCCTCATTGTGCAGGTGTAAACTCGTGTCAGTCCTCTCAAACAGATTTCTATCGTGTCCTCATTGTGCAGGTGTAAACTCGTGTCAGTCCTCTCAAGCAGCTTTCTATCGTGTCCTCATTGTGCAGGTGTAAACTCGTGTCAGTCCTCTCAAACAGATTTCTATTGTGTCCTCACTGTGCAGGTGTAAACTCGTGTCAGTCCTCTCAAACAGATTTCTATCGTGTCCTCACTGTGCAGGTGTAAACTCGTGTCAGTCCTCTCAAACAGCTTTCTATCGTGTCCTCATTGTGCAGGTGTAAACTCGTGTCAGTCCTCACAAACAGCTTTTTAACGTGTCCTCACTGTGCAGGTGTAAAGTCAGAATGGTCCTAATGAACACTGACCTCAGAGTAGACGTATAGCGGGAGCACCAGCACCGCCAGCAGCAGGTCGGCCACCGCCAGACTGATGATGAAGTAGTTGGTGGCAGTTTTCAGGGAGCGCTCAGTGAGCACGCTCAGACACACCAGGATATTCCCTAGGATGATGACCAGGATTAGGGGGACACCGAGGACCAGGGCCAGGTAATTGTAGTCCCTCAGGTGCGTCTCACCTGGAGGACTGCCAGGTGTCACATTGTCCATGATGGAGGCGCTGAACTCAGCATCTGGACACAAAGCAGTTTCCTGTCAGGATGTTTCCCTGAAAGCTAGTTGGACTGTTTCAGAGGGGTGTAGGTCTCACCTTGCTGTTCCCTGTCCCAGGTGTTGCCTCAGTCCTGTTTCAGCAGGTTGACAGCAGACTGAGTTTGTGTTCTTCAGATGTTTCTCTTCACTCATCTTCTTCTTGCTTTCCTCTGGTGACTAAATAAGAAACACTAAATTAGTTCCACACTCACCGTCCTGCTGCCCCAAGTACTCGCTGGAAAACGTGGATTCATCCGCCACTGAAAATAGTCCCAAACAAACACTGCCCTGTTTCCTCCTGTTGAAAACTGCAGCTGTTTCAGGAAAGTGTTGAGCCTTTTCTCAATGAAACTGTGTATCTGAGAGTACTTTTCAAAGATCCTGCTGGTTTTCTCTCACAGCCTAAATACCTGCAGGCTGAGTTTAGTTTCTGTTTCTGAATGTTTGGAACAAAGACAGATGGATCGTGGGTCCTCCTGCTTTAGCCGTGGTCGGTCCACCACTTTGGTCCAGGTTGAAACATGTCAGATGGAGATGAAGTTCGGTTCAGACGCCCTCAGGGTGAACTGTAGCTTTGCTCATGATATGAAAAAACAGCAGTTATCTTAACGCATTGTCATGGGGTTGGATTTGCTTTAGATGTTTCCTGTTTTAATTTGAAATACTCACCTCTCCCCATGTTTCTTGGATAACTTAGAGGATTTTGGATTTCCTGGCTGCTCCTTTTCAGATTTGTTTTCCTGCACTGGACTGCTTTCCAGAATAAGATCAGAGCTGCTCTGCAGCAGCTTCAGCATTACCATGGCACCCAGAGATAAGGGCCAACACCACAGAGGGACACACATACACACACACACAAATATTTACACGCAAATACACACACACAAATATTTATACGCAAATACACACACAAATACACACGCAAATACACAAACAAATATACACACACAAATATACACACACACACTGTGACAGTTTGGCTACGGGTTATTTTGGGATGCCAGTCAGGTTTCTCTCCTGACACGTTAGATATTTTAGGTTTTATCTCAGAAAAATATATTAACCCACCAAAGGACACACAAGGGTACATACACAACGTTATGGACCCTCCCGTTGAATGCAAGAAAGTGAACAACAATGAAAAACCACAACTCAATAATGATATGCAATAACAGGCGAACGTGTATTAACAAAAAGCACACCAAACATGTCAGCACTTCCAGAAACTGGACGGACTGTAGTCTGGATTAGTCCTCTGTGTGGTCTCTGGGTTGGTCCTCTGTGTGGTCTCTGGTCGGGGTTGTTCCTCTGTGTGGTCTGTAGTCTGGGTTGGTCCTCTGTGTGGTCTCTAGTTTGGTCGTCTGTGTGGTCTCTAGTTTGGTCCTCTGTGTGGTCTCTGGGTTGGTCCTCTGTGTGGTCTCTAGTTTGGTCCTCTGTGTGGTCTCTAGTTTGGTCGTCTGTGTGGTCTCTAGTTTGGTCCTCTGTGTGTTCTCTGGGTTGGTCCTCTGTGTGGTCTCTAGTTTGGTCCTCTGTGTGGTCTCTAGTTTGGTCCTCTGTGTGGTCTCTAGTTTGGTCCTCTGTGTGGTCTCTAGTTTGGTCCTCTGTGTGGTCTCTGGGTTGGTTCTCTGTGTGTTCTCTAGTTTGGTCGTCTGTGTGGTCTCTAGTTTGGTCCTCTGTGTGGTCTCTAGTTTGGTCCTCTGTGTGGTCTCTAGTTTGGTTCTCTGTGTGTTCTCTAGTTTGGTCCTCTGTGTGGTCTCTAGTTTGGTTCTCTGTGTGTTCTCTAGTTTGGTCGTCTGTGTGGTCTCTAGTTTGGTCCTCTGTGTGGTCTCTAGTTTGGTTCTCTGTGTGTTCTCTAGTTTGGTCCTCTGTGTGGTCTCTAGTTTGGTCCTCTGTGTGGTCTCTAGTTTGGTCCTCTGTGTGGTCTCTAGTTTGGTCCTCTGTGTGGTCTCTAGTTTGGTCGTCTTTGTGGTCTCTAGTTTGGTCTTCTGTGTAGTCTCCGGGTTGGTCCTCTGTGTGGTCTCTAGTTTGGTCCTCTGTGTGGTCTCTAGTTTGGTCCTCTGTGTGTTCTATAGGTTGGTCCTCTGTGTGGTCTCTAGTTTGGTCCTCTGTGTGTTCTCTGGGTTGGTTCTCTGTGTGGTCTCTACTTTGGTCCTCTGTGTGTTCTCTGGGTTGGTCTCTGGGTTGGTCTCTAGTTTGGTCCTCTGTGTGTTCTCTGGGTTGGTCCTCTGTGTGGTCTCTAGTTTGGTCCTCTGTGTGGTCTCTAGTTTGGTCGTCTTTGTGGTCTCTAGTTTGGTCCTCTGTGTGGTCTCTGGGTTGGTCCTCTGTGTGGTCTCCGGGTTGGTCCTCTGTGTGGTCTCTAGTTTGGTCCTCTGTGTGGTCTCTAGTTTGGTCCTCTGTGTGGTCTCTAGTTTGGTCCTCTGTGTGTTCTCTGGGTTGGTTCTCTGTGTGGTCTCTACTTTGGTCCTCTGTGTGTTCTCTGGGTTGGTCTCTGGGTTGGTCTCTAGTTTGGTCCTCTGTGTGTTCTCTGGGTTGGTCCTCTGTGTGGTCTCTAGTTTGGTCCTCTGTGTGGTCTCTGGTCTGGGTTGGACCTCTGTGTGGTCTCTAGATTGGTCCTCTGTGTGTTCTGTGGGTTGGTCTCTAGTTTGGTCCTCTGTGTGGTCTCTAGTTTGGTCCTTTGTGTGTTCTCTGGGTTGGTCCTCTGTGTGGTCTCTAGTTTGGTCCTCTGTGTGGTCTCTGGGTTGGTCCTCTGGGTTGGTCTCTAGTTTGGTCCTCTGTGTGGTCTCTGGGTTGGTTCTCTGTGTGGTCTCTAGTTTGGTCCTCTGTGTGTTCTCTGGGTTGGTCCTCTGGGTTGGTCTCTAGTTTGGTCCTCTGTGTGGTCTCTGGGTTGGTTCTCTGTGTGGTCTCTAGTTTGGTCCTCTGTGTGGTCTCTAGTTTGGTCCTCTGTGTGTTCTCTGGGTTGGTCCTCTGTGTGGTCTCTAGTTTGGTTCTCTGTGTGGTCTCTAGTTTGGTCCTCTGTGTGTTCTCTGGGTTGGTCCTCTGTGTGTTCTCTGGGTTGGTCCTCTGTGTGGTCTCTGGGTTGGTCCTCTGTGTGGTCTCTGGGTTGGTTTTCTGTGTAGTCTCTAGTTTGGTCCTCTGTGTGGTCTCTAGTTTGGTCCTCTGTGTGTTCTCTGGGTTGGTCCTCTGTGTGGTCTCTGGTTTGGTCCTCTGTGTGGTCTCTGGGTTGGTTCTCTGTGTGTTCTCTGTGTGTTCTCTGTGTGTTCTCTGGGTTGGTCTCTAGTTTGGTCCTCTGTGTGGTCTCTAGTTTGGTCCTCTGTGTGGTCTCTAGTTTGGTTCTCTGTGTGTTCTCTGGGTTGGTCTCTAGTTTGGTTCTCTGTGTGTTCTCTGTGTGGTCTCTAGTTTGGTCCTCTGTGTGTTCTCTGGGTTGGTCTCTAGTTTGGTCCTCTGTGTGGTCTCTAGTTTGGTCCTCTGTGTGGTCTCTAGTTTGGTCGTCTTTGTGGTCTCTAGTTTGGTCATCTTTGTGGTCTCTAGTTTGGTCTTCTGTGTGGTCTCTAGTTTGGTCTTCTGTGTAGTCTCTGGGTTGGTCCTCTGTGTGGTCTCCGGGTTGGTCCTCTGTGTGGTCTCTAGTTTGGTCCTCTGTGTGGTCTCTGGGTTGGTCCTCTGTGTGGTCTCTAGTTTGGTCCTCTGTGTGTTCTCTGGGTTGGTCCTCTGTGTGTTCTCTAGGTTGGTCCTCTGTGTGATCTGTAGTCTGGGTTGTTCCTCTGTGTGGTCTCTGGTCTGGGTTGTTCCTCTGTGTGGTCTCTGGTCTGGGTTGTTCCTCTGTGTGGTCTCTGGTCTGGGTTGTTCCTCTGTGTGGTCTGTAGTCTGGGTTGGTCCTCTGTGTGGTCTCTAGTTTGGTCTTCTGTGTAGTCTCTAGATTGGTCCTCTGTGTGTTCTCTAGGTTGGTTCTCTGTGTGGTCTCTGGGTTGGTCTCTAGTTTGGTTCTCTGTGTGTTCTCTGGGTTGGTCTCTAGTTTGGTCCTCTGTGTGTTCTCTGGGTTGGTCTCTAGTTTGGTCCTCTGTGTGTTCTCTGGGTTGGTCTCTAGTTTGGTCCTCTGTGTGGTCTCTAGTTTGGTCCTCTGTGTGGTCTCTAGTTTGGTCCTCTGTGTGGTCTCTAGTTTGGTTCTCTGTGTGTTCTCTGGGTTGGTCCTCTGTGTGGTCTCTGGTTTGGTCCTCTGTGTGGTCTCTGGTTTGGTCCTCTGTGTGGTCTCTGGTTTGGTCCTCTGTGTGGTCTCTAGTTTGGTTCTCTGTGTGTTCTCTGGGTTGGTCTCTAGTTTGGTCCTCTGTGGTCTCTGGTTTGGTCCTCTGTGTGGTCTCTGGGTTGGTCCTCTGTGTGGTCTCTGGTTTGGTCCTCTGTGTGGTCTCTAGTTTGGTCCTCTGTGTGGTCTCTAGTTTGGTTCTCTGTGTGTTCTCTGGGTTGGTCTCTAGTTTGGTCCTCTGTGTGTTCTCTGGGTTGGTCCTCTGTGTGGTCTCTAGTTTGGTCCTCTGTGTTGTCTCTAGTTTGGTCCTCTGTGTGTTCTCTAGGTTGGTTCTCTGTGTGTTCTCTGGGTTGGTCTCTAGTTTGGTCCTCTGTGTGGTCTCTAGTTTGGTCCTCTGTGTGTTCTCTAGGTTGGTTTTCTGTGTGTTCTCTGGGTTGGTCTCTGGGTTGGTCCTCTGTGTGGTCTCTAGTTTGGTCCTCTGTGTGGTCTCCGGTTGGTCCTCTGTGTGGTCTCTAGTTTGGTCCTCTGTGTGTTCTCTGGGTTGGTCTCTAGTTTGGTCCTCTGTGTGGTCTCTAGTTTGGTCCTCTGTGTGGTCTCTAGTTTGGTCGTCTTTGTGGTCTCTAGTTTGGTCATCTTGTGGTCTCTAGTTTGGTCTCTGTGTGGTCTCTAGTTTGGTCTTCTGTGTAGTCTCTGGGTTGGTCCTCTGTGTGGTCTCCGGGTTGGTCCCTCTGTGTGGTCTCTAGTTTGGTCCTCTGTGTGGTCTCTGGGTTGGTCCTCTGTGGTCTCTAGTTTGGTCCTCTGTGTGTTCTCTGGGTGGTCCTCTGTGTTCTCTGGTGGTCCTCTGTGTGATCTGTAGTCTGGGTTGTTCCTCTGTGTGGTCTCTGGTCTGGGTTGTTCCTCTGTGTGGTCTCTGGTCTGGGTTGTTCCTCGGTGTGGTCTCTGTCTGGTTGTTCCTCTGTGGTCTGTAGTCTGGGTTGGTCTCTGTGTGTCTCTAGTTTGGTCTTCTGTGTAGTCTCTAGATTGGTCCTACTGTGTGTTCTCTAGGTTGGTTCTCTGTGTGGTCTCTGGGTTGGTCTCTAGTTTGGTTCTCTGTTGTTCTCTGGGTTGGTCTCTAGTTTGGTCCTCTGTGGTGTTCTGGGTTGTCTCTAGTTTGGTCCTCTGTGTGTTCTCTGGGTTGGTCTCTAGTTTGGTCCTCTGTGTGGTCTCTAGTTTGGTCCTCTGTGTGGTCTCTAGTTTGGTCCTCTGTGTGGGCCTAGTTGGTCCTCTTGTGGTCTCTAGTTTGGTTCTCTGTGTGTTCTCTGGGTTGGTCCTCTGTGTGGTCTCTGGTTTGGTCCTCTGTTGGTCTCTGGGTTGTGTCCTCTGTGTGGTCTCTGGTTTTGGTCCTCTGTGTGGTCTCTAGTTTGGTTCTCTGTGTGTTCTCTGGGTTGGTCTCTAGTTTGGTCCTCTGTGTGTTCTCTGGGTTGGTCCTCTGTGTGGTCTCTAGTTTGGTCCTCTGTGTTGTCTCTAGTTTGGTCCTCTGTGTGTTTCTCTAGGTTGGTTCTCTGTGTGTCTCTG